GAGAGAGGATATGCAAAATATTCAAGATTTTCAATAGGCAGCGAAGACACCAAGTATAGATTGACTGTGAGTGGCTTCTTATGCTTATTAAACAAAAACCTAAACAAATGTAGTAGAAAAAAATAACCATTACAGGGGTTCAATGTGAAAAAAGTGTGCAGAAGAAAAATGACAAAATCTGCTGAGCAATATGATTTAGTTTCATGAACAAATAAACATCTGATTATTCATTGACATTTATCTATGAATTAAAATTGTTCTTCATAATTTTTTTTTCACCATTTATAAAGTAATCAATTACTAGATTTTACAAATACATGTATTTTATTTTTCTCTATTATTAGAAGATGCTTTGAAATATCATAATCATATGATGTTTACCACGAAGGATAAAGATAATGACAAAGTTGGCGGGAATCATAATTGTGCACATCAGTGGCACGGTGCTTGGTGGTACAACCACTGTCACCACTCAAATTTAAACGGTCTGTATACTGGGTCTGCTGTGGTTTCAGCCAAACATCCTACCTGGTCTTTGTGGAAGGGAAAGCACGAAGCATTGAAAGCAACCCAGATGATGATACGACCAGCTAATATTTAAAACAAGAAATTACTGAAGTTCAGTTATCTTGAAAAAAATTATAATAAATGTTTGAGAAAAATATGAATGCAACTTACGTTTTTCTTCCTTAAAATAGATAATAGAGGATTTCATAAAGAATAATGTAGAACAATAACAATTTTTATATACTGTATTTAAAAAATAACTCGGATAAATTTTGATTGACTGGATCTTAGTTGAGTTTTATTCACGACGACTTCATCAAATTAATTTCAAATCAAATGTTAAAATCTTCAACTAGGACATTTTATATATACTGTGAACACTACATATCACTGCAGTAAAATATTATTTTTTACATAAATATTTTACCAACATCTGTATTTATGACATGGCTGTCGACCTTGACCTCATATCATCTGTGATCGTTAATGAATTTAATAAAAATCAAAGAGAATAGAGAATGTACGTCTGTGAGCTGAACTTTTATAATAATTTAATCAGACAAGAAAAATAGCTTTCCATTATGGAAGCAACATTTTTGTTTCCATTAATTCTACAAACATTGCATAATTAAGAAGAAAAAAACACTTGTTGTGGCTTTCAGCTCGACATTTATATATATTGACGATGTATTTTCAATAGTTACTTTAATTCATATTTCGATTCGATATATTCCTGTGAGCTGGAAATTTAAAAATCCACAGTCTCTGCCATATTTGTTTTATATTTGGATTTTTTACTGACTGAAGAGATAAGGGCCAGCTAGAATAAAAGATTATTTCAACTTTTCCATCGTTAACTTTCCTTATCTATGTATTGTGATATGTGAAAGCCTTTTGGTAACATGACCTAACGTGTTTAGTGCATACACTAACCGTTTAATTATGTTTTAAGGTGGCTCATTACATCCACAGTTTATTTTGGATTTCATTACAGCACCACTTATTATGTAGATGTCAAATATCCAGAACGAGGTATTGATATCATAAATATTTTTTAGAGAATTTCTAGCTTTTGTCTAATTTTAGTGAAATGTTTTATTTCAAGTTTATTGTTACCAGAATTTCAGAACTTTCAGTGTCAAATGATGGGCATCTTCTTAAGACAAGTACAAACAGTGAAAATATCTCATAATACCTAATATTAATTTTATTAGAAAAAATAATTTTCTCATAAAAAACAATTAATATCATTATCTTTTTAATCTGTGCACAAAACATTAAGAAAATGAGTTCTGAAGAGACAAGGAATGTATTTCAATGAATTACATGTGACAAATTGAATGAAAAATGTTTAAACGAAATGAAAATGCCAATTTAAAAAATATTTGGTATAAAAAGTCCGCTTTCAAGAGTTATCTTTCCTAATAAGCCAAGACTCAAAACACTAAGGAACGTTACGTTTGAACATAACATCTAAAATTCAGAACAAATTAGGCTTTAAACTTTTAGAGTATATATTTAAATCAATGAAGCAAATATATTAACACCAACACAGTAAAAAGTGCAAGTAAATAACTTTTTTAAATTTCAATAAGGTTGTAGATTTAAACTCGAATTTCCTCCATACAAACATGTCATTGATATAGCTCACTGCATGCATCGCTATGAAATTGCCCAATACTTGTTTGGCGAAGATTTGGCTGTTGATTTCTTTTGTTTCTGCTTAAAAGCAATCCTTCTTGGTCCATGCATAATGAATCCGTTACTTTGTTTTCACTGTTTATATCACCGCATGTTTCATCTATTTTTAAAGCGCTTTAAAGTTCAAGGTCATATTATAGAGGTACCTGTACAAATCGTCCCCAGAGGGAAACGGTCGAAATAATGGAGGTTTATTGTTTTGTGTAGTACGTCATCAAAAAGTGGTGTAATGAGCCTCCTTAAATGATCGATCTCAAACAAATCTATAAACAATTCAATCATGATAAGAGGGTACAAAACGCGGACCCCTGGAAATTCCAGAAGTGGGATCAGGTGCCTCGGAGGAGTAAGCATCCCGTTTACACCCGTCATGAGCCCTGTGTATTAATCAGGCAGACAAATCCCTCAGTATGAAATTCAGTATTACAACCAAGGCTTATAACCAGTATGATTAAAGTCAGCCATAAACCGAACCAATGATAGGATATATTTGCCAACATAAATAAGGAAAGTTGACGATGGAAAAGCGTAGGTTATCTCTTTTGTCATATATTTTAATTGTTAATTGGCCTATCGTCTATAGTCAGTGAACATCCAAATATGAAACACATGTGGCAGACTCTGTGGTGTCTTTTATTCAAGTTTATAGGGATATATATGAAAATAACTATTGTTCGTTTAAACATTACCAGTCGGGGGCAGAGCAAACACGGACCTAAAAACTTCAGAGGTTGGATCAGGTGCCATAGAGGAGTGAACATCCCCTGTCGACTGCTCACACCCGCCGTGTGCTTCTTGTCTTGCATGATCGGGCAAAGGAAAAATCCGTAGAATGTTCCATAAAGCTTTTAAGGGGGCCGACTATAGTTTCCATTGCGCAATATTTCGCGCATCATAGTAAAATAAAGAGTATTTACTATTTTAATGCAACTTTTTTCACTTAATTATTAAGATTAAACACAATTTTAAAGAAGTTATAGGTATAAAAATGTAATTACAATCTTATATGACTGATTTTTTAACCGATTTTGCAATTGATAGGTAGGTTGACGTCGTTGCAGTGTGTTTTTGACGTTATGATAATCTGTAGCTTTTAAAGAAAGGGGTTATAAAAATATTATTAAAGAAAAAGTAATAAACATACGCTCTTGAAATTTAAAACATAAAAATTTGAGAATATCTTCAATATTTTATTATGTTTTCATGTGAATCCATTGTGTACGTCATATTTTGTAATACTCTATAAATATAGTAAAATTTGCTAATTTTTTGCATTTCGAGATGCCCCCTCTGGTAACAAGACGGTAGAATTTTGTGTTTCTTACATATATTGTATAATATAGTATTACTCATCAAATATTTCAGTTTGAACAAAATGTCTATTGTAGTATTTGTATAATTTGCTTTGAAGTGCTAAGAATTGGCATTTTCCTATATAATCCTATTACATGTAATAGTAAATGTACCTGTATTTTGAGACGGTCCCTCAAAAATACCTGGAAGGTAGATTTCTCCCAAACTTTGCATGTACACTGAAGTTAATGTAAGTTATATATGGTATAAAAATGAGGAGTTTCGCTATTGTAGTTTTCACACAATAAAACTATAGTTGGCCCCCTTAAGTAATTACATCTGATTCACATTATGCTTTGAATAAACTGTTGTACAGAACTCTTGAATTTGTAAACATTTTAATGATGAGCAAAGATGGAGTTTTGGTTTTTAAGTATATTTATGGAGCTTTAGAAACAAATATAGGTAATTCAACATTATTTTGATTTGGGGGAATATTTAAACATATTGAAATACAGAAAAGAAACATACACTCTTGTGAATATGCGTAGGAAATATGGCTGAAAAGCTACGGGTATAAGTTGGATTACCACTTTGAGATTTAAATCTTAATTACTCTAAAATATAATTCAAATAACGAGTCTTACAAACAAGGACAATGTTTTTACCTCCTCTGTAAGCTGGGACCCGTGTTATCTATCTATTTTTTGATTCATTTCTGTTAACGCTATAACACAATTTCGAATATCACTGTCACCACTTTGGGAATTCCTCACTAAAGATTATCAGTTATTAAACTACAGGGCCTCTTGAGTTAGGGAAGGAAATCTAACAGATCACGAACAATCATAAAATAGGAGGTCTTGCCAGTTTTCTAGAACCTCCCACTCTTGTGAATATGCATAGGAAGAATGGCTAAATATGGCTAAGTGACTGGTATCCAAATATCCAAATCTGTCTCCAAGGTGTCATATATTTCTAGCTTTGGCAGATTTTGTTAGGTAATGGGTTTTTACCCTCTATTGTAAAGTAAGATCAGACAGTTGGTGGTATTATTTTAAAGGATTCAGCCCCCTTATTATTGACCAATTTCTCTGAAAACTGGTTAGATTACGTCTCAAGTGTGTGTTTACAAAACTGTATCTCGGATTTTTTTTATTTTGCTTAGTTCGGGAATCATTTAGGGCAATGGAGAATTAGGCTAATAAATATAGGTATTAAGGGACAAATGGCTGTAACTTTTAAATAATAGGATTTATCAAGAATCAGAGATACAGTTTTAAGTTCAATTCTTTAATCTACCATAAGGAAAATGATGTTTAATGTTTTGGATAGAGCAAAACATCCTGTATAAAATAATTATTTAACAACTCGTACAGATGAAAGAAAAAACACACTCACTTACTATGTACTTTAAAATTGATGCGCAAAGCATAGTAATGATCGACTAACAGTTTCTTGATACAAGTATGTTTTATTTTTTTCTTTATTACGTCATAAAAGAATGCCTGAAATATTTTCACATAATAAGAATAATTTAATCAAATTATATTTGGAATCCAGAGAATGTTGTCATTGGAGCATCACCTTGAGTATGATACCCAGCCCCAGAATAACATTTAACCCAAACTCGGTCTCCTTTTTGAAGTTTCAGTACCACCAAGTTCGGTCCTGCCGAGTATGTTTGATGAGACGAACCACTAAATGCCATTGTTGTCACTTTAGCAGAGCCATTGAGCACTATATAAGTAAATACGTAATGGTTCGAATAAGCTTGTACGTTGGCGAAGAAAACAAAGTGTCCGTCTACAGGAGATGTGAAGACACCAGTACTGGAGTCATATCCTCCTCCTATGCTGTAGACAATCCTATCAAACACCAAGGCACCACTTCTCCAGGAGCTGCTTTGTGACGTCACACCGGCCGTAAAGGCTACTTTCTGTGTAATATCTGTAAGATTTCATTAGCTTTAAATCAAATATTGCTAAATGTTGATAATGAAATAAAGATAACAAATATAAACTCTTTTTTAGAAAATAGTAATATATCTAATACTAGTATAGATATTTTCAAACAGAGAAATAAAATAGTTCAATATTACCGGTATATAGAGTTGAAAAGTTATAGAGATTTGTATATCGATGGAAAAACCTTGCAAGTATGAATATGGAACAAAATCTACGAATTCTTCATATCTATCATTTACACTTATGTCATTTTTATTCAAAATCAGTCAAAGTTAATTGTAAATTCATGCAGATACATTAATGTGTGTGTGTTCAATAGCATTTGCGTAAAAATGCATGAAGGAAAAAATATATAATTTGAACCCTCGGCCAGGCACCAGTGTAGGTAATGAATGACCATCAAATGCATATGCTAGAGAAAAACATTCTTCAAGATAAAGAAAGGGTATATCTCTATTATAAAGAATTGAATCAGCACAACAGTCTGTGATCTTAATAATTGAAGTAAAGTTAAATAAATGACCCCAAAGTACAAAAATTAAGCTTGCAAAGTCTGATTTTAATATATGCATTGGCATAACTTTCTATGAAATCGATATAATTGAATAGACATTTAAAAATGTATTTTCATTATTTTGTATATATTAGAATAAAAAATTACTGAAATACATACTGGTTATTCGTGCCGACACTTCCCTTATTTGATCGTCATAACTTCTGAATAATGTTGTATTTAGTTCTTCCGTCTGAGAATGAACATCTAGTAGTGATAAGCTTATGTAACGCATTTGAACCTTTAAATCTTCCAAATTTTTCATTGCAACACCGACCTGTTGTATTACTTTTTTGTCACATACTTCATTTTCATGCAAACTAATCACTACTTCATTAAGTCGCTGAGTAAAGTTTTTATTCTGCGCATCACATTTTGTCAAATTATCCTCCACTTCATTCAGTCGCAGAGTTAGATTCTTGTCATATTCTTCGTTTGCAACTAATGTTTGAACTATGTGTTTTGAGCTTCTCAAATAGACCATTAATTCTTCACTAGAAGGTAGCTTAGACGAATTTAGCTGATTCATTCCAACTTCCAAAAGGAATAATCTGTTATGAAGCGACCTATTTTCTTCGCCAAGAACGGTACAATTTTGCTTTAATATCCGAATAGTAGATTTGTCGATTTCTGTTTGTTTCTTGAGGTTTTGTACCTCAGCCGTCAGATTCTGAAGCATTTTCATTATTTCTGTGGCTTCGACATTGTGTCCCCCTAAACCATGAATCGTATTACTTGTATTTGAAATTTCATGCATTAGCAGCCCAGACACTTCTTCAGTATTAAATAAAAACAGCGAAACTGTTATGATAAAAAGTTTTTGGATACACATCTTGAAATCCGTGTTTTATTCTGATGTCATATAAGCAGTTTCAGAAACACTTCTCTTCTCCCAGATTTGGTATTTCATCTAATTGAATTTATTTACTCTTTCCAGAAAGGGACAATTTAAGATGTCAATAGACTAGGATTACTCATGTTTGTTCCTTAAACAATTGTGTTGTTTATCTACATGAGATAAAAATTCCTTTTAAAATTTGGATTATAAAAGATAATTTCCTTTGTTTTATCTGAAAGTAAATAGAACGAGTGAATTTGAATTGCTAAATATATATAAATTATGAAAACCTGCTGTACACAGGGAAGTTAATTACTAATTTGGGGAGAAATATGCATTGATTACAAATCGAGACAATATTTTATACGACGGAAATCAAAATATACAAAGGAGGTGTTAGATTGAATATATTTCTTAGTCAAATAAATAGCAAGATGTTTATTGAATTATATCGCTATTTTTCCATAAAAAGATTGCATTATAGAAGACAAAGAAATTAAAATAATATATAAAAAACAGTTTTTGCTCCATTTGCCTCTCCGTGTTTTACAAAATAATTTGAATAATTATGGAATATTTCAGATTGACCACCATTTAAACAGTGCATTTGTCATCAATTGAAGATTCTAGAATTCTCTTTTATGACTAAGAAATATAACTGTAAACAATCAGAAATATTAATTCGAATTGATAAAACTGACTTTTTCTTTTTTAAACATTCTAGATCTATGCATTCCTATTTAAATGTCCAATCAAAGAGTGTGGGTCAGACATTTTAGGTGCATTACGCATACCATGAATAAAACGGACAGTAAATGTAGAATTGATAAATGACTAAATAAAATAAAATGTGTGATAAACAAACTTATTTTGTCATATCTCAAAATTATGACTTCATATCCGAAACTCGAATTTAAGCCAAATTTCAAAACATTTTGAAAACATAAATTTTTTTGACACAATAAATTCAAAACCGTACCTTCTCCTTTATTAATTGGCCTTATACTAAGATTTAAAATATACACATTATTTTATATGAATCACATTGACGTCTACACTACATTCACAAAAACTCTCTGTTCCCTTGAGAGTATTAAATGAACTATTTGAAGAGTATAAAGCCCATAAAGTCCATACATGATTGATCATCACGAGAAGGATTACTCAAGTTAAAAGAAGCCAACAAAGGTACATTTATAGATAGTAACAAGTATCATTAGTAACTTTCTAAATTATTATATTTAAATTTGAATTTTGAACCTTGCATTTACTAAAAATATTTCCCTGCAATTGCATAAAAAATCTTCAGCTATAAACAAATTCTACAAAGCTTTAATTTACTTTTAATCTAAACCTTGCATATTCTGGGTCTGACACATCTATTTCATATTTGGATATTTTACTTTATGATAAACTTGCAATGACTTTGACTTTTCAATCGCGTAAACATCCCTTAATTATGCATCAATTAACCTTCATCACCTGCATAAGAGTTTATAGGTCTCTCAGTAGATTCGATACGCAAGGGCATGCTCTACGTATGAACAATTTCTTAAACAAGTTAAGTTATTGACAAACAAATTGATGACACAAAAATACCAACAGCCTTGTTTAAAGTCATCATTTCGTAAGTTCTATGGTCGATACAATGACCTTGTCATCAAATTCAATTTATCATTGAGTCTAGTTAACTGAGTTAATTTTCATACTAATTGTTGTTTTTTAAGACAGGCATTTTTAAAGTTTGAACCTCAGCAGCAGCTTTCAATTTTAAATAACGTCATTTTTATGTCTTCTAAAAAGTCCCAATATTTTCAGTCAGCATCCTCACTTTGTCTCTGAAGTCCTTGGGTATTTTTAATAAAAAGTATGTTTCCTAGACAGATGGTTTTCATATGAGTACTTTTTTTCAAAATCTTATGCACTAATATCGATGATTTTGGAAAATTTGTTTGTATTTTTTAGTTTATAAGAATCTATAGATTCATTTCTGACGATGAAAAATCTCACAAGCTAATTTTTGAAAATGAAATTAAAAGTGCAATGGAAAAATTATGATGACTTAAATATATGTTTTTATATCAGAATGATATTCAGAATGATATTGCAAGAGATTGGGCTTAAAATAAATGTATAATTTTGTAAATACAAATACAAATACTTTATTGGCACAAACACAATTACAATAATTGGCATTATTGTGCAAAAATATAGACATCAAAAGTTGGGACATGTTTGTTGAAACACCCTGTACAAGTACATGTGTGTTGAAAGTACATCAGCTAGCTAATCCATTGGATATAGACATCTGTTATATACGAGGGCTGTTCGAAAATTATTGAGACATTGTGTATATTTTGCTTTCTTATGAACGTCTTTCGGTGAAAATTTGCATATACGTTTGACATACACTAAGAAATAATAAAAGCAACAAATATTTTACAAATATTTAATATTTTCTGTACAATGGTATATGAATGTGTCAATATTAGGGGTACCCGGAGCAGTCACAAAATCAGATATTAAAAATATTTAATATCAACGTTCTAACTCTTCGTGGACCCATAATAAAAGCGGAAATAATTTAATTTATGTGTATAATTTTTCAGCTTTATTTCAAATTCATGTTGTGCAACTTTGTTAGTATTTAGATTAGAAATATAGAAATCATCAAAAGATTAAGCGCGGTAGAGAAATCTGCTAACAACGAAAAAACTTGATTTTGACGTCAAGGGCGGAGCAGCCGCATTCCTAAAATTTTGTGTAGCGCAATGTAGAGCTCTTTTCCAGTCTGAACGACCTGCTAAAACGATAACAACGAGAAAAAATTAATGTGTTAGGGTTTGTAATTTCATTGGTATACTTTTTTTGTTTACAATTAATTCAACCAGGGTAAAATCAAAAGCTTTAGACGACCATCAGTTATTATGTACGGTATTAATTTTATCGTTACGGTATTATTATCGTTGACCAGCGTTGAAGAAATCGACACTGCATGATTCTAAGTAATCCTTTCCCACAAATTAAAATTGTGTAGTGGGCTAGCAACAGCATACATACATTTTAAAAGAATAGTTTAAGAAAAGAGACTGTTTGATTTTTGTAATTTCATAAGTAATAACACAGAAGGGAAATTATCAAACGTTTCCCGAACGTTTTACATGTGAAACCATCTCCGGCTGACGTGACGTTAAATGACGTATCGATGCTGCTCCGGGTCGATACACGTATGCATGTTTATCATTTCACCGAAACTTATCTAATTATCATAGAAATTAGAAATTTTGCATATGTGTTTAATTTGTTCTTTATAAATTGTTCTAAAATTTTCATGAAATTATCTCCGTCCTTTATGGAGTAAATGTAATTGTCTCAATAATTTCCGAACAGCCCTCGTATTCATTAACTGACATAATTATAAAAAAAAATTTCCAACACTAGAGAACATAGTTTTGTGTAAAATGTAAGTTATTTATATAGAGGAAAATAAAACAAATATGATTTTATACACGTTTATTTTGATATTGGCGTTTGTTGGTCGTGGCATATTTAAAGCAGCAGGGGGTCGCCAAGCGTAAAAGGGCGACCCCAAATAACAACAAGCAGCAGCAGCAGCATCAGCAAGCAACATGAAAGCATAATATCACATGTACATATAATAAGCATAATAATGGCCGTTCCGGGTATACCGCGAACGGTAATTAACCTTACAATTTAATTTTATGTACATGTATTTTAAAAAACTTTACAAGTTTACATGTATGTTGTAGGTATCGTTCCGGGTTATCAAACCGCGAACGTTACAAAGGATATTTTAGCAAGCAAAGCACTGTGCATGAAATTTGTTGAAAGCAGTACACATTTTGCACAGCAACTGAGTTTGTTTCAAGTAAGCAAAGCAGACCAATTCATGAATTTGTTGAAAGCAGCACACATTTTCACAGTAAATGAGATTGTTTTAAGCAGCAGCAGCACAATGAATTATAGCATCAGTTGAATGGCTCGGCGCAAACTGAATCTTGGGACGACAAGGGGAAAAACCAATCGTAATTCTATGGAATGTCATCAAGGACTCTTTAAGCGAGGCTAAATACGCAATCAAATTACAGCATACAAGGTCCGGCCCATGGAATGCCACGACGAAAATCTTCCAAGTGAAGTCAATACTCGAGTCAAACCTGAAATGATAGAGAAAACCCCAACAGCAGACAAAAACTTCTTAAAATTGTTTAGTGTTAAGATGCATATTCTACCATTACTCTTCAATATGGGGCGGGATGGGATGGGATTTTAGAAACAATCGTGATTGAAAGCATATTTTTTAAAAGTTCTGTCTGCTACAAAATTCGTGTACCTTTCGTTTTTGGATCAAGGGCAAAGAGGGAGAATTTGAGATATCCCGATCCCGATCTAATTTATATTCTAGCTAACCCAACTCAAATAGCAGCAACAAAGTTTTCCTCATAAAATAAGTGCATCTATTCTTTAAATTAATAGATGCTATTATTTATATAGAGGAAAATAAAACAAATATGATTTTATACACGTTTATTTTGATATTGGCGTTTGTTGGTCGTGGCATATTTAAAGCAGCAGGGGGTCGCCAAGCGTAAAAGGGCGACCCCAAATAACAACAAGCAGCAGCAGCAGCAGCAGCAAGCAACATGAAAGCATAATATCACATGTACATATAATAAGCATAATAATGGCCGTTCCGGGTATACCGCGAACGGTAATTAACCTTACAATTTAATTTTATGTACATGTATTTTAAAAAAAACTTTACAAGTTTACATGTATGTTGTAGGTATCGTTCCGGGTTATCAAACCGCGAACGTTACAAAGGATATTTTAGCAAGCAAAGCACTGTGCATGAAATTTGTTGAAAGCAGTACACATTTTGCACAGCAACTGAGTTTGTTTCAAGTAAGCAAAGCAGACCAATTCATGAATTTGTTGAAAGCAGCACACATTTTCAAAGTAAATGAGATTGTTTTA